CCCATGTTGAGTATTTGTTATTGTTCTTAATGCTTTGAATATCTGGCCAATATTTAATTGATTTGATGATCCAAGCGGAGACCGAGAGGAGATGTTTGGTGTTTGCTTCTTATAACAAATACCATGTCTTGAATGAGTGCTCGAGAGGGACTAACATGACACATGCAGTTTTCTTGCAGGTTCTCATAGAACTTAATGGGTTCTTGATTTTCTAAATCGGTTGCTCGAGAGAGAATGGGTTGTTAATTAAGAATACTTTTGGTTGAGCCCGAGAGGGGATATCGAATGAATTAGGAGAAACCAAGTGTCAACATGGGTAGTAATTAGGGTTAATTGGCTATAAGAATTAAGTGGAATTGGTTATGGTGAAATCAGATGCTCTAGTGTCTCATCATCTTGATTTTCTATCATTAATTAAATTGCTATTTTTCATAATTGTTTTAGTTTACTTAAATCAATCAATCTTCTTAATCATCTATTCAAATAAACTTCCGAATTAATCATAATTGGTAGTTAATAGGAAATTACAGTCTTCGTGGGAACGACACTCTACTTATTTCTATATTACTTGTACGGATTGTGCGCTTGCAATAATTTCACAACAAGTTTTTGGCGCCGCTGCCGGGGACTGTTTTATTTTCTTTTAATATCAACATATTTTAATTCGGTGTTTAATTTGAATTTTTTTTTATTTTTTTCAAGTACGTTGAATTTTTCCGACACCTCCACCTATGGCGGACGAAGCAGAAAGAGCAGTGAGGGAATTTGGCCCCCCAGTGGCAACTCCCTCAGCGATCCGACGTCCTGCTATTGCAGCCAACAATTTTGAGATCAAACCAGCCATGATCACCATGCTGCAGAATTCATCCGTATTTTGTGGTCTGCCAAATGAAGATCCAAATATACATCTTGCGATATTTTTGGAGATTTGTGACACGTCCAAGTTCAATGGGGTAACTGATGATGCGATTCGTTTAAGGCTATTCCCCTTCTCCTTGAAGGATAAAGCCAAGCTTTGGTTACTGTCACAACCACAAGACTCCATCCGTACTTGGGATGATTTATCTAAGAAATTCCTTGCTAAATTTTTCCCCCCAGCCAAAACTGCGAAATTCCAACAAGATATTATGTCATTCGCTCAATATGATAAGGAGCCTCTATATGAAGCTTGGGAACGATTTAAAGATTTATTGCGCAAATGTCCTCACCATGAGCTACCAACCTGGATTCAAGTTCAGACTTTCTACAATGGGTTGAGTCAAACAAGCAGGACACTAGTTGATGCAGCTGCTGGAGGGGCTTTAATGGTAAAAACGGCCACCGAAGCATTTGAATTATTTGAGACTATGGCATCCAACAACTACCAATGGCCGAATGAGAGAATGAATCCGAAACCCGCAGGGGTCCTGGAAGTTGATGCCATGGCTTTGTTAACAGCACAAATTTCTAACCTTACTAAAAAAGTTGATTCTTTAAGTGTTAATGCTGTGAACACTAATACTAATTTTGGTTGTGATTTTTGTGCAGGTTCTCATCTAAGTTCTGAGTGCACTACAAGGAACCCATTCGCGTCCGTTGAGCAAGTAAATCAAGTTGCAGAATTTAATCGACAAAGGAATGATCCTTATTCCAACATGTACAACCCCGGTGGGCGAAATCATCCAAATTTTTCATGGAGCAATACTCAGAATGTGCAGAGACCACCACCTAGCTTTCTGGCTCAAGAGAAGAAAATAAATTTGGAAGATGCGCTTACCCAGTTGACTATGTCTACCACCCAATTTATGACAGAAACAAAAACCCAGTTTCAAAATCAGGGCACCTCTATTTGGAATTTGGAGATGCAAGTAGGCCAACTAGCTAATGTATTGAGTGGAAGAAATCAAGGAGTATTGCCAAGCCAACCAGAAATTAATCCGAAAAATCAAGAACAAGTAATGGCAATCACAATTTGGGAAAAGAAGCAAGTAAATATAGCGGTCGACTTGGAAAAAGAAAAATTAGAAAAAGAGAAAGAAGCTGAGAAATCCCAAGAAGAAGAAAATTATGTTGTTATGCCAACTCCTTCTCCTTCATTGAAGCCATATGTCCCACCGATCCCTTTTCCGCTAAGGTTGAAGAAAAATAAAATTGATGAGCAATCTTCTAATTTCTTGGAGACGTTCAAAAAGGTGCAAATCAACATTCCATACGCTGCAACTTTGGAACAAATGCCAAGTTATGAAAAATTCATGAAAGACATCCTCTTGAAGAAAAGGAAATTTGGTGATCATGAGAAAATCCAACTGACTGAAGAATGTAGCGCCATTCTGCAACGAAAGCTTCCACCAAAGAAAAAAGATAAAGGGAGTTTTAAAATTCCATGCACTATTGGAAATAATTTCTTTGAAAGAGCTTTATGTGATTTGGGTTCTAGCATTAACTTACTACCTTTATCTGTTGCTAAAAAGATTGGTATTGGTGAAATTAAACCCACTACTATTTCTTTGCAGATGGCGGATAGGTCAATCACTTACCCAGATGGAATTATAGAGAGATGTCCTAGTAAAGGTTGATACACTCATATTTCCGGCGGATTTTCTGGTTTTGGATATGGAAGAAGATTCTGACACGCAGCTAATTTTGGGCCGCCCATTCCTGATTACTTCACGCACTCTGATTGACGTAGAAGAAGGCTTACTAACTTTGAGAGTTGGGAATGAACAAGCGACATTCAAAGTTTTTGAAGCAATTAAATTTCCAAGAGAAGCGGAGGATTGTTTTCACATGGAATTAATAGATGAAATTGCTTCAGACACATTTAAAAAGGAGAATCCGAGCAATCCATTGGAATCTACATTGGTCCATGCTGCTACCTCCCAAGATGACAACCCCATGGTTGCTGAATATGCCTTATATTTGGATGCATCACAACCATACCATCCAAGGCAAAGGAATCAGTTCGAACCACTAGGAGCAGCACCTCCTAAGGCAGCACCTTCTGTGATTGCTGCACCTACACTCACTCTGAGCCATCAATCAGTGCCCATATATTTATTGCTCTGCTATCTCTGGACTAATCTTTATTAGTCGACCAAGGGCATCGATGCCCATATATTTCAAATTATGACTGTCACTCTGTCCACCAAATATACAACAAGGAATTGGTGTTTAACTCTCCAAAACTACTACGAAATAGTTAAACCACGACACAAAATAGACGACGGTGCATCTTAAAACCGTCATTATGTTTCAAAAGATGATGGTGTTTTTAAAATCGTCATGATATATCATCTTATACACTACTAGCGTTAGATTGATTTTTAAAAGACGACGCTTGTCACTAACAAGAGTCGTCTTTTAAAACACGCTGAACAAAAAAAAGGCCACTTGATTTTTAAAAGACAACGCTTGTCACTAACAAGCGTCAGCTTTTAAAACACGATTAAAAAAAGGCCGCTTAAGTGAATTAGCGCTCGACAAATTTTCAGATTTTCCCCGTCTCTGAAAACCTTATATCTCCCTCCTTGAAACCCTCCTCAGCTCTTTGAAACACCCTTATGAACTCTCTACAAAATCATCAGAAAATCGATATCAATGAAGGAGTTGAGAGATTCAGGTCTTTGCAGATCCAAAAATGGAGAGGGAGGTTCTGTATCTGAGAATCAAAGTTGGTTGGATGGTGAAGATCTCGATCTCCATACTCTTTAACGATGATCTCCATCTCAGGCGTTCAACTCTCGCATCAACCTCAGCGGCTTGGTCCGGTTAGCTCTCCAATTTGTAGTCACGATCTAGAAAGACTCATCGAAATCGATCATGCAGGCCACTTCAGGCCCATGGCTGTCGTCACCACTTCAGGCCCTTGGCCCTCGCACTCCTCTAAAGGTCCAAGCCCTATAATTGTCCTAATCTCCTGATAATTGTGAAGATCGAAACCCTAGCCTCCTACCTTTCGAAAGGTTTGATTTGAAAGTCACTTAATCTCTCAATACCCTTCTATATCTTGCCAGTGAATTCGAGATTAGTCTCTTCGCGTTTCTGGTATGTTATCTGTCTCCCTGATTTCAGATTTTCTGTCTCTCTTGATTTGTTTGGTTTGTTTACATTATTTTTTTTTATTTCTGGTTTCTTTTTAGATTGTTTCATTTGGTTTTCAGGAGATGAGGAGGAAGCTTGGGATTAACTAGTTACTGAGATTGGTGGACATATAACAACTTTATGAAAAAATTAAGCATACAAGGTCGGTTTGCAAAGATGGATTGACTGGCTTTTTCAAGTCACTACAAGAAAATAGGCCTTCTATGACCAAATTTTATGTGGCGCTGAAAATTTCGTCACATTTGGCTTGTATAAGTGAGAATTTTGCAAGTCATCACCTGAAAGTCTTGAAGGGACGTAGCAAAATTTTCGCTCCATGTTCGTCATGTCGTCACATATTAAATAGCGGGAAATCTTGGCGCCCAATTTTTTTACTAAACGTGACGAATAATGCACATTCGTCACAGAGCATGAAAGTGAGGCCCATAAATTTTATTGGGTGAAGATTGGCAGCGTCACATATGGCCCAAAAGAAAAAGGGAAAAAAAAACAAAGAAAACCCCCAACGGTTCATTCAACCTAATCGAAGCTTCAGTCCCTTCATCCTCATCACTAGCTACGCTCTCATCCACAAACCACTGGCGACGACGACCACTCCTCCTCTCCGGCAACGACGACCACTCCTCCTCTTTCTCTCTTTTTCTCTTTTTTTTTTCTTCTCTTTTGTTTTTTTTTTCTTTTTTCA